GAATACAGTCGCGCGAATTGCCCAGTTAATGAGCGATTAATGTGATTTAGCACGCCGCACAAAATGATGTTGCAACAGCAGCAGCCCCGGCAGCAGCCACTAACAGCATTAGGGATGGTTAATCGACAGTGTTAGGCAAGCCGTCGCTCGCTTGACAGCCACACACAACCAGGATTGTTTAGACCACACACTTTTTATTTTAGCCACCGCAGCAGCCAGCAATCACGTTAATTTGAGTGTGTTTTGGATCGTTCGCTGGAATATTTCAATTAATTTTCATTAAATTTTACATTGGCTATAATTGGTGATTTTTGTGGTTGTTGTTGCTGCTGCTGCTTTTCTTGTCGACGTTTGCTACTAAATTGCCTCGATAGTTTTCCCTTTTACGACGATGTTAAAGAGTCAGTTATTTTGAAAGTTATTTTATTCTTTTAATTTAATGAATGTTTGGAACTACAAAAAAAAAAAAATCGTTAACAATTTTTGTTTTGCAATTAAAAATTAGCTATGAATACCACCTGTTTTTTAGTGCGTGTGAGAAAAAAACACAAATTGTGTTATTTTTAGTTTATTAGGAACTTCAGATACCTCCACGAGTCGGAGCTGAGAGGAAATATTTTTGTTATTAAAAAACAAGTAAGCAAAGGCTAGAGTCGAGCGGGGGCGACCGTTGAATACCCTACAACACTATAATAAACGATACAGTTTATATAGGCGAGATACTCAGAAGAATTCCACAAGATATTGTGACAAATTATAAAAGAAAACCATCTGGTTTCGTTCTCTAATTTTCGAATAATAGCAACTTAAACTAATTTGCTCATTTCCAATTTATTGGAAATGGTCTTCCTAGGTCTGGAACCAATATTTCCCAAAGACCTATAATTTCTTAGAAGTGGCAAAAGATTAACATTTATTATTGGTTTTTGACTGAAACGCATCTATATGAGATACAGGCATTTGACTATATTCCTCAACGAAATCAGCGTTAACGAAATAGAAGTGCGTCTTTCCTGTATTTGTGAATTCTCGAAAAAGTCTCTGGAATGAACATTTTCGTATTTTGTCTACAAAAGTTGGCAAACTATTTCACACATTGAATATATTTGGATGGCCATCCAAAACTGCTTGGCTTTTCAGTGTCCGGTAACCCCCTTTCAAATGTGCGTGAGGATCGGGCGATAATTACGACCTGCCGACAGTTTTGCAGCTTTTTGGTCCATTTCAACCCCTAAATATATGGCGATCATCTCCAAAAAGAGTAGGCTTCTATTCTGACCCTCATCTTATCCCCATGCAAAATTTCGTACGGATCGGGCCATAAATGCGATCTGTATATGATATCCTGATATCCTAAATACTTAGTTTTGTTAGCTGTAGAAATATTACCAAATGTTTAATTCAAAATGAAAATATGCCAAAAATATGACAAAATTGAAAAAATATGAGAAAATTTTACAAAATCAATATTTTCATCTTTAGAGAGATATTTTTATGCGATTTTTTTAGACGTATTTTCTTTCCTGCCAAGAGGCCATTCTGAATTAATGAGAACTGTCGAAATCAGTTCAGCCGTTCTCGAAATATATGAGATCTTTCATGCATATCTTCTTTGATAGACATATATATCGCACATATTTTGCTATATATCCGATTTGTTGGATGTTAACATCAATGTAAAGATCAGAAGTAACCTTGTCATGGCTTTGTGATTTCGCCGGGATTTAAAATATTCGCGTTTTATTGAAAAATTTTGAATTTTTTCAACACAAAAGATATGGTCTATTTTACCCGCTAAATATTATCCGATGACCACCTAAATTGGTAGGCTTCTTCCCCGTCCTAAACTCTAGCTACATGCGAAATTCCGCGTCGATTGGTCTATAATTGCGACCTGTATAGCTACTGCAAAATCCGACATTTTTTCAGTATTTGGTCCATTTCAACCCCTAAACATTTGGCGATCATCTCAAAAAGAAATAGGGTTCTATTCTGGCCCGACCCCGACCTCCATTCCAAATTTCGTGAAGATCAGGCCATAATTGCGACCTATAGAGTGATTACAAATTAACATGGACAGACGGACAGACGGACGGACGGACATACATAGCTAGATCGACTCAGCTCGGCGAGCTAGGATGATCCATATATACTTTCCTATGTGGGAAACCAATATTTCGAGGTGTTACATAATTTTTGGTCCAATCAAACTTATAATACCCCCAACACATAGTGTTGTAGGGTATAAATATTTTTTGCAAGTAAAGTATATGATAGAGTAACAAGATTATATTTGAGACAAATTCAGACATAAATATTATCCTTCTAAGGTTTAAAACAAAGTATATAATACTTTGTGTCTGATTCAAGTTCAGTTCTAAAGGACCAGTCTTTAATAATCGATAATACTAAAAATAAAAATAAAATGCTAAAATCCCGCAAATCATTACCCAATAATGGGATGTTAACTATATTTGGCCACAGTAACTACTTACAATCAAGCATCCTAATGTCTTATTTTATCATGGATATGTCAAAAGAAGTAAATAGTTTTCAAGAAGTCATGGTACTATAAGGAGGTAGAACAGCTTCGTAAAACTACAGAAATACAGCCCTGATTCTATGCCCGCTTTCTGTCAAAATTATTCAAATTTATAGGCAACAAGTTGCTTTTAATTATTTGGTATTTTTTGTTCATTTCTAAAATGAGTCAAATAGCCCGAAAGATGAACGAAATGCCTGGATGTTCTCTCAGAAATATGTTCCGAAGTGTTCAATCTTTCAATTCCATGGCAAATCTGGTTAATATAATTAATGCGCGCTCCTTAATTTAAGTTTCTTCCAATATTGATTTTGAAAATATTTTGTTTTTATTTTTCAAAACAACAAATACATACACATGGCAGAAGTCGGCCACACTTAGAAAAAAATTGCAATCAGATGGGAGCTCTTTCATTGTACCATGCAAGAAGTAAATACTTAATCGAAAATATTTTCAAAAATTTTGATCAATTTTTCAGATTAAATTTTTTTATTTTATATTTTGTAGTTCTTGCTAAAATATGGGAGTAAAACAAGCATGTTGCATTTATTTCCGAACAAATATTTTCACGCCTTTTAGAAGGTATAAAAGTCCAGAAAGAATATACAGGGTGAGATGAAAAAACTACAACCAACTTCAGACTGCTGTCATTTCTAAGCCACTCGTCCGACAGCTGTTAAAATTATTCCAGTGACAGCTCATTATATTGTTTAGAAGCATACAAAAGCATTTTGGTGAGAATTTTCCAGAAAAAAGTCATTCGTGATGGAATTCAAGCGTAATAGTCTAATTTTTTATATTTGGTTCGAAAACCACAAGTGGCTATCGCTAGAGCACTCCAGCATATAAATGTGAATAAATCTTTTGTGTCTTGTACCGTGATACTGGTAGCGTAGACTGACGACAAGGAAGTGGACGGAAGAAAACAGAAATGGTTCGAAAAGTAAAGAAGCGACTTGATCGAAACCCGCGTCGCAGTGGCCGAAAAATCACTCGTGAACTGAACATATCGCAATATTCCATTCGGCAAATATTGAAAAATCAGCTCGGGGTAAAGCCATTGAAATTCCAAAAAGTGCAAGAACTTACACCGAAACAAAAAGAAAATAAACTCAAAAGAGCTTAAGAGTTGCTTCCCTTGGCCGAAAGTAGTGAACTGCCGAATTTGGGTTTCTCCGATGAGAAAACATTCGTTGTCCAGCAGTTTGTAAACAAACAAAATTATCGTGTTTACTTGCCAAGGAAGCCAGCTGAAAATGTGCACCTTCGGTTGGCCATCCGTACTCAAGCCCCGGCCATGGTGATGGTGTGGGCCGCCATAACAGCCGATGGTCGATCTCCGCTCGCATTAATCAAATACGTTAAAATAAATGCCGAATATTATTGCGAAAATATTCAGAAGGGTGTATTAAAGCCTTGGGCACGCAAACATTTTGGCCGCAGACCTTGGACATTCCAACAGGACTCAGCACTTTCGCACTCAACACGCGCCATCCAAGAATGGTTAGAAAATAAGGTTTCTCGCTTCAACTTCAGCGCACAATGGCTTTCAAAATCTCCGTGTACCAATCCGTTGGACTATTGTGTCTGGAGTATTTTGGAAAACAAGTTTGGCACTAAAAAATACTAAAGTGTCGATCACTAAAATACCGCAGAGTAATATTCGGACAGTGTGTGAAGGTTTCGTTGGCCGTTTCGTGCCAAAGGTGACCAATTCGAACAAATCTAAACTTATTCTAACATTTGATGCAATTTGCGACATATTTTGCTTTCATTTAATAAAATTTAAAAAAATCAAAAAATTATGGCGTTTGACTTTGTTGCAGTTTTTTTATCTCACCCTGCAATCTAATACAGAAAACTAAAATATTAGTCTGATAGGTCATTTAAGACTTAGTTGTTGAATGGTTGAAATTTTTTTGCCTAGGACAAGTATAAATACAATATCACTTCTTGTTTGCTGCAATACTGGTAGAGGATTGTTATCCCTCATTTTTAGTCGAATCGACATTAAATTCATTACAGTTAATTGCACACCAGCCAGACAGTCAGATAGACTGGACTCGAAATGTCCCGAAACGAATTTGGTCCAAAGAGACCTAGGGTCTAAGGCATTTATTTCAATGAGGCCTTATGTTGTCATGTGGGTATTAATGTGAGGGTAATACTATATTCTCAAAGTTATTTCACCCAATGTTTTAGATTTCAAAATCAAAATAATTTTGCTTTCTATAATATTTACATCCAATTTCTGCGAATTTACATCCAATTTTCTTCGACGGAAGAACTGGATAAGAAAAATATGCCACTTTATCTATTACGAATATATTTTGGCAAAGCCTCTGTCAACACAATTTCTGTTTGAAAGAAGGCTTTGATTTTTATTTTCAAATAAATATATCAAAAATTTGAAAAACTTCAAATTGAAAAATAAAGGAAATAGAATTGAAATATCATCAAAATACATAAAATCTGAACAAAATCGTTTGAAATAAATTAAATACAAAATAAGCTATATCAGTGGAACACATTTCGACGACTCTTGGAAAATGTGAAAATTAAGAAAATAGAGGCTATTTCAAATGGGAACACAAAGCGTAAGTTACTCAATCGAAGTTTTTAAAAAAAATGTCAACAAATAGCCAAATTCAAACATTTTGTATAATCCGAGATATTTTCATAAGTAGGACAATGGATTTGTGAGTGTTTTTGACCGGACTCCGATGTCAACTCCAGCATGACTTATTGAACAAATTCTGGTATTGAACCCAATCGACAAATTATTTTCATTTGCTTATTTTCATAATTGGAGCATTTACACCATCCCTTGAGAATTGCCATTCGATTAGAAATGCTTTAGTCCCGAGTTGAAGGGTATATCAATTTTGTCATTCCGTTTGACTCTCATCGAAATAACCACAAATAATATATATAGGCGCATTGATTTTGTCATACCGACTGAAAACATTACAACCATACAAATTGGATGTTACCAATATATTTCCCAATCCTGGCGCTCTATTTTTATATCCTCCACCATACATGGTATGTAGGGTATATTAAGTTCGTCATTCCGTTTGTAATTTATCGAAATAATAATTATAGACCCAATAAAGTATATATATTCCTGATCAGCGTAATATTCTAAGACGATTTAGTCCTGTCCGTCCGTTTGATGTAATAACAAATTAAGATAGGAAGCTATAATTTTGCACAGACCTGTCTTTTGTCTGCAGGCAGGTCCAGTTCGAAGATGGGCTATATCGGTCCACGATATCGTATAGCCCCCTTATAACGGTACCCCCGATATTCGGAATTGATTATTTTAGCCACATTTATCAAATACATTTTCTGAAAATTCGCACAAGGAGGTCCTTTTGAGTACTTTATCCCCTAGGATAGAATTATCTGTATCGGTTCACGATTTCGTAAGCCCCCCATATAACGGTATTTTGATGGTTTTAGCCACATTTTTTGATGTAATTGTCTGAAATTCTACACAAGGAGTTGTTTGTGAGTACATTCCCTGGCAGGGAATTGTCTATATAGGTCTATATATCCCCTAGATAACGGTTCCTCCCGATGTTCGATATTTTGATGATTTTTGCGACGATATTCACCGGAATTGTTTCAAATTTGGTATATAAAGTTCGGAATAGTCACTATAGCCTATGGAACAAATTACTTGTGCAGCACCACGACTTCGTAAAGTCACCATATAACGGGTTTCATTTGAGCGGTATTTTCCGACGAAAATTTTTCAAGTTTCTTCTATAAAAAGTTCGGCCCGGCAGAACTTAGCTGCTTTTTTACTTGTTGCTCTTTGAAAATGTCAAATGAAAACGAATGAAATATTTTATAAAGGAAACGTTATTCATTTCATATTTACTTGATCAAAAATCCAGCCTTTGGACTCAAAGTCAGGATATCTTGCAAATATGTTTTTATACCCTACACCACAAGGTGGTCAGGGTATTATGTCTTTGTGCATTTGTTTGTAACAGGCAGAAGGAAACGAGATAGACCCATAGTTCCTTTTGATGATCTGCATAGAATCACATTCTGAGTCGATTTATGCATGTCCGTCCGTCCGTCTGTCCATGTATTTTTGTAAACAAAGTACAGGTCGCATTTATTGCCCGATCCAGATGAAATTTTGCAAAGATCTTTTGTTTGGCCTAAGGACGAACCCTATTGAAATTGGAGATAATCGGTCAAAATTTCGATATAGCTCCCATATATATCTTCGTCCGATTTGCCTTTAATTGTGCACCAAACGTGTAATATCAGCCCGAATTGTATGGAATTTTGCATATACACCCAAATTAGGCCTGAAAATATGTATGCCAAATTTGAATCGGTTCAGATATAGCTATAGCTCCCATATATATTGTTCATCCGATTTGTTATTTTTGTCCACCGCCGCCGTAATATGCACTATGCAACAACAATATTTGGGGAAATATATCAAATAAAGCTCAGAAATACATTTGCTAAATTTTATCGAGATCGGTTCAGATTTGGATATAGCTCCCATATATATAGCTTTGTCCGATTTACCTTTGATTGTGCACCAAACGTCTAATATTTGTCCAAATGGGATGGAATTTGGCACTTACGACCGAATTGAGTCTAGAAGCTAGTATGTCAAATTTTGTGAAGATCGGTTCAGATATAGCTATAGCTTCCATATATATTATTCATCCGACTTGTTATATTTGTTAGCCACAAAGGTAATATGCACTCCGTAACAACAATATTCAGGGAAATATATCAAATACAGCTCAGAAATATCTTTGCCAAATTTTATCGAGATCGGTTCAGATTTGGATATAGCTTCCATATATATATCTTTATTCGATTTCAAATTAATTGTGCACCAAATGGGCAATACAATTCAGAATTTAAAAGATACAAATGCTTCGGCAAATCATAGCGTGTATGATTGAATTCTCCCATAAAAACTTTTAATTGTTATGTGGAGCTCTACTTAATTAGCAAAGTGGTGTAGGGTATCATAAAGTCGGCCCCGCCCGACTTGAAGACTTTCTTTACTGGTTTACTCATAAGGATTTCAAAATTATAAATTTCAAAACCATACAAATACAATTTCTACCAAATAGCTCATTTCAGCAGGACGGATTATATCCTTTGAAAACCTTATATGGTAAATTATAGCTAATTTTGTCGAGAAATTCATCGAAATCCTGGGACATTTTGAAAATTGGTTGGCCTAAACTAGATTTATAATTGCTTGGAGCTATACCTTAATGTGGCCAATCCAATTTCAATACTACTTATTCCTGCCGATCCCATCTTCGTAGCGGATCTTGCGTTTGTAAAAATATTGGAATGTGTAAAAATTTAAGGGAATTGAATGCTTCTTTAGCACATTCGAAGGTTTTAATTATTTAAAATTTTGACCCTTATTGTGAGAAGTACTGGATGGAGTGGGCCGATATATTCTATATTCTACCTTCAGGTCGCGTTTCATGAGTTTCATGGTTACTCATAATTTTGACATGTTTTGGGAAGGGAGTGGTCTGTCCCATTCGTTCTGCATACCACATCTTGTGTTTGTAAAAAAATTGAGATGTGTGAAATTTGAAGACAATCGTACTCTTATTGCACATTTTATAAGTGTTATAAATATTCAATTTTGACCCTTATTGGGGAGGTACTTAATGGAGTGGGTCGACATTGTTAATTTCCGAACTCAAACTAAGTTTGATAATAATATTGTACCAAGCTTTGATCAAATCGGATGGACGGACACCCCTTGATCGAAACCAAATATCCTGCAACGAAATTGTTCCAAAGAGACCTAGGGTCAAAAACAGTTATTTTAATTAGGCACGTTTTTGGCATATCGCAAGATATATACTATCTACAGCCATATGGCTGAGGGTATAAGTCGGCCGGATTGAAAGTCGGTCATAGCTAAAGCTAGGGGTCGCGAACCTTTAATTCAATGTGGCTCATTTTGGCCCTTCCAATTGATATACAGGGTGAGATGAAAAAACTGCAACCAACTTCAGACTCTTGTCATTTCTAAGCACTCGTGCGACAGCTGTTAAAATTATTCCAGTGACAGCTCATTATATTGTCTACAAGCGTACAAAAGCATTTTGGTGAGGATTTCAAGTGTAATAGTTTGATTTCTTTATGTTTTTCTTTTTCGGCAAATATTGAAAAATGATCTCGGGGTAAAGCCATTGAAATTCCAAAAAGTGCAGGAACTTACACCGAACGGAAAGAAAATAGACCCAAAAGAGCTAAAGAGTTGCTGGGGCCGCCGTAACAGTCAATGGTCGCTCTTCGCTCGTATTAATCGATCGTGGCATCAGATAAATGCCGAATATTAGGACGAAAAATATTCTGGAGTATGTACTAAAGCCTTGGGGATGCAAACATTCTGGCCGAAGACCGTGGACATTCCAACAGGACTCTGCACCATCGCACTCAGCACGATGAGGTTCCTCGCTTCATTTCCAGTGAACAATGGCCACTAAAATCTCTGGATATAAATCCGTTGAATTATTGTGTCTGGAGTATTTTAAAAAGCAAGGGTGGCACTAAAAATACCAAATGTCCGATCACCTCAAGCAAGCGCTTCGCCGCAGAGCAACATTTGGATATGGTGTGACGGTTTCATTGGCCGTTTGAAGGCCATAATTTGTGCCAAAGTTGACCAATTCGACAAATCTAAACTTATTTTAAAATTTGATGCTATTTCCGAAATTTTTTTCTTTCATTCAATAAAATTAAAAAAAAGGAAAAAATTTTGGCGTTCGACTTTGTTGCAGTATTTTTATTTCACCCTGTAAATTACAAAATAAAAATATTTTTGAAAAATAAACTATTCTCTTTCATTAATAGGCTAAGAAATTTCCGAACCGCCCTCCTATGTACTGATTGTATTATGTACAGGTCGCAGTGGTCGTCCGATGCTCACGAAATTTTTTATAAGGGTAGGGTTAGGGTCAGAATTAAATCCTATTGTCTTGAAAATGTATATTTAGGGGTTGGAATAGACCAAAAATAAAATTTTCCTGATTTTGCAATCGCTCTACAGGACACAATTGAAAACCATTGGATTATATGTAGCTTTAAAATGGAACATAACTTTCGTATGACAACAACAGCATGTCGTAGTGCGTAAATATTTGTCTAATGCCCAAAAACCTAAGGGTAACATTTGAACAGGCCTCTATGGCATTATATCAAAATCTAAATCTTCTAAATTGATTTGGACATAAGGGGGCCTCCAACATATGGTATTGTTGTAAGGTATCACAGGGTCGGCTCCGCACGACTATATCCTTTATTTGTTTTTTAATTATTTTTGGGTTAACTCTAACTCAAAATTTAGGTTTTCTTCTGTCTTCACTTCGGTCCTAAAATATTCTTTCTCTTCTTCACTAACTCCCTGTTTTATCTCTCTTTCAGAATGGACTTGGGCCTGACCCTCTGCCAGCCAAGGAGGTAAGTTTTTTATGCATTCCCCTTCCTCGACCTTTAACAACAATTCCCATTTTGAACGTTCCATTACCGTTGTGGCGGACATAAACATATCTTCTCTTTTTCTTTGATGACATGACACATTGACAAATTAATACCCAATCAATGAATAAATATCAATTTATTAAATGCGATTATACACATTCGTCGCCGGCCAGCCATCGAGCATACCGGCCAGTTAGCGACTGCAACTATTGAAGTTGTTACATTTTTTCGCAATATTAAATTCTTGCTCGAAGCGTTTTTTTTTGTGATCGCTGGGAAAGAACAAACGAAACGAAAGGAAAAAAAGAGCGAGCAAGCGAATGGTCCGAAATGTCTTTGGAATCTGGTTTAATAATTGGAATGCAGTTTTTAGTGCATCAGTCATCAGGTTACCAGGAGGGGAGTATCATCTTCAACGACAACAACCGCAAACATGGCTTAGATATAGTGAGGAGGATGTTTGTTGTTGTCGGAGCGGCAGCTGATATGACACATCGGAGGAACATGCATTCATTTAGTCAACATCCTCATCATTGTTGCCGATGACAATAATAATGCTGGGAGTCAAAGCCAAATCATCCGCTGCATCATTATCCGCCGGTTGCAATAACATCAGTTTGTACAAAAAAGACGAAGGAGAAAAACGAACGCTACAACTTCAGCTGTTGCTTTTGTAGGGTACGGTAAGACTACTACCACACTGAAGTTACGACAAATTGTACAAAAATCTTGCCGGATGGGATATTTGTGGCTCTGCAATTGATCGTAAATTAATCAAAGAATTTGTTGCAATTGATGCTGCTGTTTTATTGTGAGATATACCTATCGTTTGGCCAAAGGACGGACGGGCGGACAGACCGACTAGTTAAACTTCTGGCAAATACCATTTAAAGCTTCTTCCCAAGCTTCTGGAGATACATTCCAATTTCTACTCGTTTAGTTTTGCCGGTAAAATTCCTATTGCCATCCGTTCAGATATCGATTTGTGCGTGATCTGTTTTCTTTTTTTTGCTTTCCTAGATCTGTTTCGAAGTGAGCCAGTGTCTGCCGCTACCATTTGTGGCAAAATGCGGTCCGGTCAACAGGCAGAAGTGCAGATCTTTACAAGTATCTGTATCAGTAGTTAGTGTGAATTCATGCCACGCTTGGTGGAAATTGCAATATATTAACGCAATAAAATTGCCAATATAAATCACTTTGCTTTTGTATGAACGCTCTGCTTGGCTTAGCACTCTTGTAGTTTGCTCTTTATTTATTTTTTTTTTAATTTTTTGTGTAAGCCTTTCTTTTCGGTTTATTTTTATTTTATTTTCCTGCAAGGCGTATTATCTCTTTGAACGCCACACTAAGTACCAACAACGACAAGAACAATGCTTGCAAGCTGAATGTAAAATGAATGGATTTGCTAAATACGCAATAAGTTGCTGCACTATAGCAAAGGTTTTACCAAACACAAATTAGAAAGTTTCACACTGCATTCTGAAAGATATATGCTATTGGGATTTTACCATTTATGTATACCATTTTTGAGAGATATTCCAAAATGAATGGACTTTCATATCTAATCTTTACCCTATACCTGGTGTTAATAGAAATATTGCAATGTCCGAACTTTGAAAAAATTTCCAGATTAATTTCGAACCATTGTTGTTTGGACCACAATATCACATCTTCATGCGAGATCTATTGTTCCTTAATTGGAATATGCCAAGCTTGAGGAAAATCATACACTGATTTCACATTTTATGAGAGTTATTGGTATTTGAAACTTAGAAATTTTGGTTGAGGTACAAGAATTTTTCTGCCATTTTTTTGCGAGATTTTATTTTTTTCTACCACTAGAAGGAGTGAACATAACCATTTTGGGATGAGCGAAGTTTAATGAAAATATCACATTGATTTTCCGCCTTTAGAGGCATTATTATTCAAAATTTAGAACTTTTGAAAGAGAAGTACAGGTACATGTTTGCCCATATTCGACGGACCCATATTTGTAGCTTGTCTTTATGGCTTGTCCGCAGGCAACATTCTTTGCGTCAATTGAATTTTGTACGGGAACAAATGCAAATCAATGCGAATAAACCGTTGTAAAGTGGACCGAGCCATGCCCAACTGCTGAGAATGGCGTTTTTGGGATGTTCTTGGGGACCTCTCAACACTGGCTCGTACGGCAGCGATATTCTCGGTCGACTTTTATATGGCCTCTTCGGATTAGAAAGAGCCTTACCAGTTGAAAATTTTTCGTATAAACGCTTAATGATGTTCTTAGAAGGCGCACTTCTCACATTTTTTAATGTTTTAAAAGCACGTTGAGTTTTCACAATTGACTTCTTCTGTTGAATGTAAATTTCAACTATTTCAGTGCGCTCGCGTGGCGTGTATTGGTTTATGGTAAAAATCTGTTTGGACTGACGCTTCAAACGCGGTATGTCATTAAGCGATGTGACATCTCTGTCAATAGTTATGGCGTTGCCAGATGGGTCCGTCGAATATGGGCAACCCGTATATTTTTTGATACGGCCAAAACGTGCATAGTCGAAATAACGACTTTAGACCCTAAGTCTCTTTGGACGAAATCCGTTTCAAGACGTTTGGAGTCGATCAGGTGATTTCCGTCCGTTCGTCTGTCTGTTTGTTTGTCTAGCTGGCTCGGTGTGCACGATAACTCTCGAAGTGAGTATCCGATTTGGTCCAAACTTGGTACATCGTAATAATTTTTGTCAAACTCAGATCGTGTTCGGAGATGGGCTATACCGGTCCACTCCTTTCTGTACCTCCCCACAAAAGGGTCAAAATTTTGAATATCCATGTAGTAGCTCATAAAAAGCCAAATTAACATCCGATTCCATTTAGACTTGCTAAATCTCAATATTTTTATCAACACAAGATCTGTTATAAAGATGGTAAAGATCAGATCATTTTTTCTGGTACCTCCCCCACAAAGGGTTCAAGATTTAGAAAAACAAAACGCTCAAGGAAGCGGAATAACCAGAAACCTGATATTAATATGGAATTTATGGTTTCGCATAGAATTGGATATAAATGTTCGATTTTCTTGTAATTTTGCCCATGTCAATATTTTTATCTGTATTAGTTGAAGTATGAAAATTGAATACTATACCATACGACTTGGTACCTCAGTCACATTTTCAAATTTTCTAAAAATTATTGCATATAAATTGAAAGGGAATAACCAATATAGTCCAAACATGGCACGTCGCAATATATAATATCATATTAATTAAGGTCCGGTACGAAATGGACAATTTCGGCCCATTCCTTCGGAACCTACTCCATTTGAATGATTATAACAAGAGTTAAAATATGTTTAAATAATCGAACATTGGCTGAGGGTAAACATCTGTCGGCTAAATCGACTGATTCTTCTTAGCTTTTTTATATAAATATTTTTCCAGAGTTTGCATGGAGCTCACTGGTGACTCATATTTAGCCTCAGATAAAGCGTTTTTATTAAAAGTATACAAGGATGCTATTTACTTCCTTTTTGGGCAGATGAACGGTAGAATGGCCGGGCCGATTTTAAAATACCCCCTACCTTTTGGAACGAATTTGGCAATTTTCCAAAAAATAAAATCCGTTAAAAATTCTGTTAAAATGTTACCGAAGTAGCCGTTATATTGGGGTCTATATGATGACGTTTACCTACATAGGCAACTTTTGTCATAAGCCTTTACAATATTCAAATGCGAAACTATAAAAAAATGGGGAATAATGTGGCTAAAATCATCAAAATACCGAATATCGTGAGGTACCTTCATATGGGGGCTATACGAAGACGTGGACCTACACATTTTCTGTTTTAGGAAACCAAAAATACGTAGCCCATTTTTGATACCAAAAGTCTTGCGGACATAATATACATTTGACATTTACATTTACGGACATTTACATTTCTCGTTGTCCAGCAGTTTGTAAACAAACAAAATTATCGTGTTTTCTTGTCAAAGAGGTAAGCTGAAAATGTGCACCTTCAGTTGGCCACCAGAACTCAAGCGGTGATGGTGTGGGCCGCCAGTCACTCGATGGTCACTCTCCGCTCGTATTAATCGACCGTGGCATCAGAATAAATGCCAGACCTTGGACATTCCAACTGGACTCAGTAGCATCGCACTCAGCACGCGCCATCCAAGAATGGTTACAAAATGAGGTTCCTCGCATCATTTCCAGTGCACAATGGCCACCTAAATCTCCGGGTACCAATCCGTTGGACTATTGTGCCTGCAGTATTTTGGAAAGCAAGGTTGGTACTAAAAAATTACTAAAGTGTCGATCACCTCAAGCAAACGCTTCGCCGGGAATGGGCCAAAATACCGCAGACCAACATTCGGGCAGCGTGTGACGGTTTCTTGCCAAAGGCGATCAATTCGAACAAATCTATACTTATTCTAAAATTTGATGCTATTTCCGACATTTTTTGTTTTTATTCAATACAATTTAATTTAGACATGTCCGTCCGTTTGTATGTTTGTCCGTCTTTTCACCTGTGGAAATCACTGCAGCTTCCGTGATATAGGATGATAAAATTTGTAATGTATTGGTATAGCTCTCCATGCAACCTCACAGCCTGATTTATCTCCACTTTCTGTAAATTGGCAGTTTGTGTTCCCAGGATGTCGAAAGCATCCTTGCAAAACTGTCCACACAGGAATAGAGAAAAAAAGGCGTCCCGATGTTCATGGTTCAAAAAACATTATTGTATTCAAATTTTAATATAATACATTGCCGGTGAAATTTTTAATGATGTTAATGCATTTAGGTCTTTTCCAACCCATTGTGCAATTCCTGAGAGAGATAAATATTAGCGCATCCATTTAACGTCATCTATATTAAAAGCCAATTGATTATAGATCTTGTAAAACATGTTTTCATTTCGTTCATTTATTGCTTTTAGCTGAGGCCAATCTTTCTTTCTTTCGGATGCCCCCTTCTGCTCCTGCTTCTTTTTATTGTTTTTTTTA